AATCATCACTTGAATTTTGGGAAAAAACCACGTTAGTGCCTTATGCTTGCTTGCTAACATAAACAAAATCATCACTTGAATTTTGAGAAAAAACCACGTTAGTGCCTTATGCTTGCTTGCTAACATAAACAAAATCATCACTTGAATTTTGAGAAAAAACCACGTTAGTGCCTTATCCTTGCTTGCTAACATAAACAAAATCATCACTTGAATTTTGAGAAAAAACCACGTTAGTGCCTTATGCTTGCTTGCTAACATAAACAAAATCATCACTTGTATTTTGGGAAAAACCACGTTAGTGCATTATGCTTGCTTGCTAACATAAACAAAGTCATCACTTGAATTTTGGGAAAAAACCACCACCTATCACATTCTGGTTACGGGCCTGTAATTTGTGTATTTGTGATAATTTACTGCAAATTTACTTTTTCATGTCTAAGATTTGTCCACCTTCACCCGTTTCCGACATTGCTAGTATATTGGCCAACAATGTGAATACGAACACAAATTACGTGGAATTATGTGCACTGAATTTTACGACTTCTTGTTAATTTAAGTACTTTATTATCAACATGGATATCACTAACTTCGTGCTGTGATATCGAAATGCTTCTATGTATTATTTATCTAGTTACGAAAATTGTATGAATTCTGTACTTTATATGCTGAATTAATACATTTTCTGGCTTTTATAGTGCAACTTCGCGTTAGCCGATCTAATTCAGTTTAATATATATTCTGATACGCTGTCTATCTCTCTAAGTATATAATGATATTATTCATGAAATACCTTTTCTTGTTACTAGCTTTATTTCATTCCCATCTTCTACTAACAAATGTGAAGCAATCCTCACGATTTGTTCAACATCATCTGATTAAGTGAATGACTTTAAACTGACGTTGGTAATATGATTATGATTAACACTTCTAATTCGTACACGAAATGTTATATTAGACAGAAAACTCTTGCTTACCTTGGGCTGCAAACGCGGGGAACGGGCTAGTTGGCGAGGGGCCATGTGTCTTTCTGGTCAGTCAAATTTACGGTGCGAAATCACGGAGAAAATACAGCAATCGCAGGAACGATGTGACACATACAACTGCAGTACGCAAGGTATGCTTTTTCAAGCCCTGTCGGCGAACGTTTACCCGACATTCGACCAAGCCAATCCATTCAAGCAGGTGTGAGGGATTGTTTAAGTTCATGATCTAAGCGCCCTCTAGCGTTATCACCTCTTTCCCGGCAATTTAATCTTAATGGCAAAATCAAAAACTACACAATATCCCGTGACCATTAAATAAATTGGTGAAACAAAAACACTATGTCACTTTTGGATGGATGGGGGGGGGGGTAGGACTTTGTTAGACATTGAAAACAATTTCCAACAGAAAAGCACATATGTAAAATATTCCTAATCTTGTTTCACAACTGTGAGCTTTGGAGTAACGAAAAAGGTTCACACGGCATAACTGTATCTACTCTAACTTTTCTTTTGGCATTAACTTTCTAATTCCATGCACCAAAACGGAGAATTCAAATTCATCGTACTTCAAAATCGTCTTCGGTAAAAAATATAAACCTTTTTATCCATGTCGTTAGTGTGGAAACTAATTAATCTCAAAAGATATTTCTGAAGATTAAAAACAAAGAAGCTATGTATAAGTTGTGGCACTAGCTAGTGTTTAAATCACTTCTGTGGAATTTAGTGAGACTGCAAAGATTTCTATGTCAATGTTCACAAATTACAGGTTTATAGAGGTTGTCCACTGAAGGTAACATTCTCCACTGTCACTTTAACTTATAAATTATTTTTTTGTTTAATGAAAGACAAATAGACAGATAGATACTTAAAAGACTAAAATGAACGACAAACAGATACTTAAAAGACTAAAATTAACGATAGATACTTAAAAGACTAAAATTAACGACAGATAGATACTTAAAAGACTAAAATTAACGGCAAATAGATACTTAAAAAACTAAAATTGACGACAGACAGATACTTAAAAAACTAAAATTAACTACAGACAGATACTTAAAAGACTAAAATTAACGACAGATACTTAAAAGACTAAAATTAACGATAGATACTTAAAAGACTAAAATTAACGACAGATAGATAACTAAAAGACTAAAATTAACGACAGACAGATACTTAAAAGACTAAAATTAACGACAGACAGATACTTAAAAGACTAAAATTAAAAATAGACAGATACCTAAAAGACTAAAATTAACGACAGATACATACTTAAAAGACTAAAATAAACGACAGATAGATACTTAAAAAACTAAAATTAACGACAGACAGATACTTAAAATACTAAAATTAACGATAGTTACTTAAAAGACTAAAATTATCGAGAATACACACAAACTGAACAGCAAGAAACAAAAAAATTAAATTGGAATTCATAATTTTAAAATTTCGATAAATTGACTTTTTCTTTTCTTTTCGAAGATACCTTTATACCACACCTCCAGTAAAGTTATTTATCGAAGAACTGGCGCTCAGTCAAGTGTTGAAGTAATATTCTTCTCACTATTCACAACTAAAGGGGGTTTGTAGCATTTTATTTGAAACTATTTACATATGTTACTACAGTGACGTGTCACTGCAGATGCGATCCGTGACACCTCTGGTGACATATTCAGCACATATATTTGAGTCACGGCAACTTTCCAACCATTCAACGGTGTACTGCACTGTTGTACTCTCATACTTATAAATGTAGGATTTTTCTTTATCTCGACATATAGACTTACTGGTCGCATTGTTTTTTATTTGACGGTTTGTTTTGTTTTTTTGTTTGTTTTGAATTTCGCGCAAAGCTACACGAGGGCTATCTGCGCTAGCCGTCCCTAATTTAGCAGTGTAAGACTAGAGGGA